TATATATATATCAAAGAATAGCTTTTGGTGGAGCGGATTCAGGATCTGATAAATAATCTAACTATGGAAACAAATGAAACAATAATTAGTACTCTTCTATAAACAGATCATTTTGTGCTATTCTTATCTTGATTACAAGAACAATAGTAAGGTAAAACCTTTCTATCTAACTCTAGCCCTCGCGGGCTTGTCCCTAATTTTTCTAGTAATTTCGAACACTCGAAATTACGTCGAAAAAAATAAAAAAAGGGTTGAAAAAAAAAAAGAACATTGTTCTTTTTTTTTCTACTAGATTTTATTAAAATAATTGTTTTGTACAATTAACATGTTATGAAAAGTAATTACCTTACCAGATAGTATAACATATCCCGGAATATAAATCTTTTGTATTTAAGCTGGAAAATTGCATTTACGTAATGTAAAAGGCAATTAGGGGAGAAGATTAATATATGATTTACCTATTAAAGCCCCACAAAAAAAGAGAAAAGAGCTCAATAAAGAGCATCTGTTTTACACGCAACAGGTTGTTTTATATATACCGTATTACAGAGTCATTATAGCTAATTAGCTATAAAATTTTATAGTAGTGTATTAAATTTGTATATATAATACATGAATAATTCTTATTTGTTTAATAGCAATATAAGATATTATCAATAACCTAATGAAAGTAAAGGTCTTATACAATAAAATACTTTAGAACACCTATATTAATTTTTTATTTTTATACAATGAATTTATCACTAATCTTATTTACAATTGGAATTTTAGGTTTTGTTTTAAACAGAAAAAACATAATATTAATGCTTATTTCAATAGAAATAATGCTATTAGCTATTACATTCTTAGTATTGGTTAGTTCACTTAGCTTTGATGATATATTAGGTCAAACGTATGCTATTTATATTATTGCCATAGCCGGAGCAGAATCTGCGATAGGTTTAGGTATTTTAGTAGCTTTTTATAGATTTATCTCTTTTAAATCAATCCATCTATCCTTTAGTCAAGCTAAATCACCCATTAAAGCTCTTAATATCATTCCAAGTGGAATAAGAAATTATTCTACATCTAAACCCCTTAACTGTAAAAATTCTTTAGATCCATTATTTATAACTGGGATTTTGGATGCTGAAAGTTCCTTTCTAATTGCAATGCTAAAGAATTCTAGATATAAAACTGGATGAAATGTGCAGGCCAGAATTCAACTAAAGATGCATGAAAAAGATAGATCTTTATTATTGAAAATACAGGAATTTTTCGGAGGTATAGGACTTGTATCCAAACCCAATAACAATTCTACAGTGGAATTTAGGGTTCATTCTATTAAGGATATAACTAATGTAATTATACCGCACTTTGATAATTATCCCTTATTAACTAAAAAATATTCCGATTATATGCTTTTTAAAAATGTTATTAATTTAATGTTAGAAAAACAGCATACTAACCTAGAGGGAATACAAAAAATAATTAATACAAGGGCATCTATGAATGGAGGTTTATCTGACCAATTAAAAAAGGCTTTTCCTGAAACTATCCCTGTTATAAGAGAAGAAAGAGTAAATAACTATAATACACTTGTGCATTCTAAACCGTGAATAGCTGGATTTTCAACAGGAGAATCTAATTTTTTTATTGCTATTAATAAATCTAAGACAACAGACAATATATATGCTTCATTACGTTTTTCTATTGCTCAAGATTTAAGAGATGTAGATTTATTAGAGAGTTTTGTAGACTTCTTTAAATGCGGATATGTAGTTAGATATGAAAAGCGTTCAATAGCTGAGTTTGTAGTTACAAGAATTGATGATATAATTAACCATGTAATACCTTTTTTTGAAGAATATAGTATTGCAGGATCAAAGTACTCAAATTATTGTTCTTTTAAAATAGCTGCTTTTATGGTTAAAAATAAAGAACATTTAAAAGAAGATGGTCTGAAAGAAATCTTGTTATTAAAAAACAAAATGGGGATTACTACTGAAAATAATCATGGAGATGATTAGGGGTTTGAGAGAAAATAGGTCAAAAAAGGTAGAGCAAACCTCTATCTAGTCTCATTAAGGCGAAATCTTCAAAATGCGGGGAAATCTTAAAGACAAATCTACCAAATTAATCTAGTAATATGATTAATGGAACAGGTAATGACTCGTTGTATGGTAAAAACGGTTTGTATGAAGAAATGAAATAGATAATCCGCAGCTAAACATCAATATAGAAATATTGGTAAAAAGTTCATCGACTAAATGGAGATTGGTTTATAATTATATAATTATATAATTATTTGCTTAAGGTATAGTCAGGCATAATAGAAAAATTATGGTAATATCCTATCCTTCCTAAGGGAATACAATTCCTATGGAAAAAGGGAGAAAACGAAGAGGAAGTATTAGTATTGAATTTAAATAATGTATCTAGCTATAATAATCTTACCACTATTAGGATCAATAGCTTCTGGTTTTTTTGGTAGAAAAATCGGAGTATCAGGAGCACAAATAATTACATGTACAGCTGTTGTTACTACAACAATATTGGCTGTTTTAGCTTTCTTTGAAGTTGGGTTAAATAATATACCTGTATCCATAGAGGTATTCAGATGAATTGATTCTGAATCATTAAATGTATCCTGAGGATTTCATTTTGATTCACTAACAGTTTGCTACGTGGCTATCTTAATAGAGATAGAAGCTGTGTTGGTTTGAATCCAACTGTATAAGAATATGTTTATTCTTTGAATAAGCAGGTTAGTTATGTCAGATAAGACTAAAAATAACCCTGCTTATCTTCCCTGTCCATCTAATTCATATGGACTAAAAGGATTTAGATGTAAATACCCCTTTACGAGCACTTTCCCGAACCGTAAAAAAATTAATTATTCAACTATTAATAACATAAAGCAAACCGAACAGGAGATAGGTGCTATTAACCCTGAATTCCTGCAATGATTTGTAGGATTAACAGACGCTGAAGGAAGTTTTACCATTAATAGTCATTTAAAAAAAGATAAATTTACTATTTCTAGTTTTTCATTCATGTTTAAAATAGCATTACATAAAGATGACGAAAAGGTTTTAAGAGATATTAAAGACAGATTAAGAATCGGAGGAGTTCGTATTTATAAAGATGAATGTATATTTAGTGTTACAGATAAAAAAGGTATTGCTTTATTAATTGATATCTTCGATAAATATAACTTAAATACTTCCAAATATCTAGATTATTTAGATTTTAAGAAAGCTTTCCATTTTTATTCGAATAGATCTGAAGATTTAAATCCTTATATGATAAAAGATACAATTTTAGAATTAAAAAATAAAATGAATACTAGTCGTATAAATTTTGATAGACCAAATGATTCTGAAATCGTAATAACTAAAAGTTGACTGCTAGGGTTCGTTGAGGGAGATGGGTCTTTTTTTTTAAAAAGAGATAGTTTAACTCCTGTATTTGCCATTGAAGTCTCCGGAGTACAACTACCGGTATTTGTGAAAATAAAGGAATTCTTAGAAAATAATCTAGGTTTTGATTCATATTCCTTCTATAAACTAAAAAACTCCTCAACCATAGCAGTAGCTGAAGTAAAGGCTAGAAATGCTAATAGCAAAAGTAGCGTAACACTTATTATAAAAAACATTAATGTTTTAAATAATTATTTGGTACCTTTTTTTGCGGATATGGAATTTTTAACTAAGAAAGGTATAGATTTTAAGGATTTTAAAATAATTTGTAAAGCTATATACGATGGGGCACACAGAAAACAAGATATAAGAGCCTTAATATTAAAATTATCTAATACTATGAATAATTTTAGATTGTCAACTTATAAAGGTATAGCTGTAGCTTTAACTCAAGAAGAAATAGAAAAACTATTAAATGCAGGATCTACAGTTGAACGTCTTTTAGATGGAAGAGTTATAGATCGTGACACTAAAAAAGTACTACCAAGACAAGTTTCTTGTATATATCAAATATGTGAACAAGATGGTGCGGTTTTATTGGCGAATTCTTTAACCGAAGCTGCTGCAATTGTAGGGTTATACCCTGACACTTTAAGTAAATACTTAGATAGTGAACAATTAAATGGGGAGTTCATAGAAATTAAAAATCATAAAATTAAAAGAGTATGTGTTTTTTCTTAGATGTACTCCTAACTTCTTAATCTAGCCCCTTTTGTAATTATTTATCTTTTGTAATTATTTATCTTTATTTTTCTTTTTAGTCTCCTCAAAACAATATGACTAGCTGTCAATTAAAGTTGCATACTTAATGAGCGACGGTGGACTATTGTAAGGATATACACAAATATACATCTAGCAGCCTTTATAATAGGGATAAGGAATAAACATACAGCCGTTGTATGAATATAATGGCTGTCTACCTATCATAGTTGAACTAATATAAGGATATATTTTTATATTAACGAAGGAATATGAATAGCCGTGTAACTAAGTTAGTCAGGCTAGGTAGAATTAATAGGAATTGAGTAAGATTATTATCGAACAATTCTATACTTATATAAATGGGTGAAAACGGTTAATAAGGATATACTTAAAGACCGTCGGCAGTAATAAATGTCGCTACAGACTGGTTCGCCGGGGTTAGGCTGAAATGTCTGTCCGAATGTACAGTCGGACCTTAGAACGAGTGCGAGATCGTAGGGAGGAAATATTTATCATAAAAAACACTACGCACAGTGGATAGCCTTACCACAAAGGTAATAAACTCCTAAGTATCAAAAATACTCTTAATGTCTATTCCTCTGTATAGAGGTGACATTAAGGCCAGGTTAACTAAGGTTGTTCTATGCTTATTCCTGTTTTAATAGTTTCTTCTTTGGTGCATATCTATTCTATAGGATATATGAGTGAGGATCCTCGAGGTTACGTTGAGGGAAAACGTTTCTGTGGGGATAAACTGTCAAATTCCGGGGAACTCCTAAAGCTTAAGGTACCAAACTGTAGTTGAAAAATTATATGTGGCTGAAGTAATTACTCAGATAAGGTAACAACCCTTAAGATTTGTGAAAACAAAATGGACAATCGCGGATCTAAATCAGTTGTAAGATATTATTCTGCAACTGTAAAAGAGCAAAGAGTAGACGGCAGTTGATCGGTTAAGTCAAGTTTAACTTATTTAAGGTGTATTCTAAAGAATTTTGAAAGAAAAAGTGGTATAAACCACGGCTTCAATCATCAAATATGTTGAAGCTCACGTATTAAAATCCCGTCTAAGCAATTCTGTCTTGAACCTGTCTCTCCTATGCCTACTTTTTTGGGACATTTATATAAATGTCCCAAAGTTAGAGGTTGCGTATATTTAAGCTTATTAGGGGGCAAGTTAAAGGGTAAAGTAAATTATTCTACATTTACTTCGGTAAATCCTGGGGTTTGGTCTGGTTTAATAGATGGAGAAGGTTCTTTTTCTATATTCTTAGTTAAAGACGCAAAAAGAAAATTGGGTTGACGTGTTGAACCAAAATTTCAACTAGGTTTACACAGAAAAGATCATGATGTATTATCTCAGTTACAGCTTTTATTGGGTGGTGCTGGTGCCATCTATATAGTTCGGAAAGGAGAGTTTGTTAATTACATGATTAGCTCAATGGAAGGTTTAAATAAACTTATTCTTCTTTTAGAAAAATATCCATTGTTAACTCAAAAATCCGTAGATTTCTTTTTTTTTAAACAGGTAATAGATTTAATTAATAATAAAGCTCATCTTACTGTTGAAGGTTTAAATCAAATAGTTAATCTAAAAGCATCTATGAATTTAGGTTTATCCGATAAATTAAAATTAGAGTTTCCTAGATATAGAGTAATGGATAGATCAGTCATTTATTGTGACAATCCAATTATAAACTCTTCTTGGCTTTCAGGTTTTGTTAGTGCTGAAGGAAACTTCGACGTTCGTACACCTAAAACAAATAATAAAACAGGTTATAGAGTTCAGTTAAGATTTAGAATAACCCAACACCTTAGAGATATTAAATTGATGGAAAAAATAGTTGACTATTTAGGTGGAGGTAAGATATATAAATATACTAACTCGGCTGTTCATTTAAGTATAGTAGATTTTTCCTTAATTACCGAGAGAATCATTCCTCTTTTTAAGGAAAATCCTTTAGTTGGTGTTAAATCTAAAGATTATCATAACTGATGTAAAATTCATCAACTAATGATTAATAATTCGCACCTAACGGTTGAAGGTATGAATTCTATACGAGAAATTAAATTAGGTATGAATAGCGGTAGAAGTTTGAGAGAGAGTAATGAGGAAGTAATCTTAGCTGGGTATAATACACCGGCTTCGCAGACGCTAAATAAATTTAAAGAATAAATATCTATTCTTTTAACTTATAATTTAACTTTAGTTTTTAGAATATATTTTCTTCCCAGACCATTCCATAAGCAACCTGAGTTAGACAAATTGCATGACAAATTTAATAAGAAGCACAATCAAAGGTTCTTTAGCTATTTAAGCTTGTTCACATTTATGATGGTTATATTAGTTACAGCTAATAACTATTTATTAATGTTTGTTGGTTGAGAGGGTAGCCAAATAATATGCCCTAGATGGTTAATTGAATCAGACAATAGTATTTTAAATTTTATGCTTATACATACTTGCAATCAAAAAAGATTTTTCTTTTCAAAAAAGTTAACTTCTTTTCAACGAATTGGCCCGCATAATATAAATGTAATATCTTTAATCGTAGGATCTTTATTAAACAATTCATACATTGAAAAAAGAGTACACGGCTTTAGAATTATATTTATAAAACATAATGACAATGTGGAATATTTAATGTGATTTCATTCAGTGTTATTTAATGCTGGGTATTGTAACAAAGAAAAACCTAAATTAGATAAGTTTATAGGTAAACACAATAAAGTGTTTTTTATTTATAATTTCAAAAGTTATAGCTTTTCTAGCTTTAATTGATTATATGATATGTTTTATAGAGATAACGTGAAAATTATACCACATAATTTAGATGAATATCTTACACCCTTAGCCTTGTCTACTCTATTCCTGTCAGCTGGAAGACCAGAAGAAAGGGGAGTAAAGCTACCTAAATCATGCGTTTTAGTAGAAGATCTCAAAGATCTATCACTCGTTTTGAAAAAAAAATATAACATAGATACAATTATTAATAATAGTAACCTTAATGACGGTAAGTATTCTAGTATTTCATTACATATTAAGAATAGTTCTGTTTCTACTTTTTCTAAAATAATAAAGCCATATTTGTTACATTCACAATACCACTTATTAAAGAGGCCTATCCTAAAATTAACTTTTCCTGGTAGTAATGGTATTCATAATCATTCTTATATTCCTAAAAGAGATTTTTCAAATAAGAAAGATCTTTCCGATATAAAATATACCCTTAACTATAAAAGAGAGTATGTTATATAAGATATAAAAATAAATATTATTTATGATAATTTTCCATAGTTAGTGATATTATATTTAGAAAATCAAAATAGTTTCATAAAACATGAAACCTGTATTATACAGGAGAATAAATAGATTAAAATTCTTAAGATAAAAATTGGAATTTTAGTGTCACTAGCTACATCATTGAAAACGATCAAAGAGATTTTAAATAAATTTAAAAGATCGTCGGTTATATTTTGGATCGCTATCGACTAGTACAATGATGGGTACCTGAAATGGTGCTTAATGAATAGTCAGAATCTTTATATATAATATACTAGGGCTTTAAGTAAATCCTAATAGGTTTTAAAGTACAGGAGTTAATAAATTGATTATTTAGATATCAATTTACGTAACTTAAGATTTGGTTGGGGTTTGTTCATATCTTTTAGTATGTTTCTGATTTACTAGAATAGCAGCAAATCAAAGTTCTCTTTCAGCATTTTTAACTAACAGAGTAGGTGACTGTTTTTTAACTATAGGTATGTTTGCGATTTTATGAGCGTTTGGTAAGACAGAAAAAAGTAAAGTTTCTAAATGTGAGAATAGTTATGGTTGCGTTCCTAAAAAGAATAGATCTATTTATCACCATTCAATAAGAAAATATTCTACAAGTAAAGTATCAAGTAATTATTCAGTTGGACCCTACTTAGCTGGATTAATAGAAGGAGATGGGTACATTGGTGTTCAGAACCCAGACTCTAAAACTAATGTGATTTATAGACCAAAAATTCTTATTGCTTTTAATATTAATGATAAACCTTTAGCTGAAAAATTATCTGCTGAATTAGAAGTAGGTAAAGTTATTAATAGAGAAAAAGCAGGTCATGTCATATTACAAATTTTAGCTAAAGAAGAAGTTTTAAAGATAATTCACTTAATAAATGGATACATGCGTACACCAAAAATAGAAGCTTTGCATAGAGCTATTTGTTGAATAAATGAAAAAGATAGTACTACTATACCTTGTCTAGGTTTAGATTTATCCTCTTTAGATAGTAATAGTTGATTGGCAGGGTTTACAGACGCTGACGGTAATTTTGCTATAACAGTGTATGATAGAAAGAAAAATGGAGTCTTTTTAAGAACAAGTGTTCAAACTTTTTTTCGTATAGAAGTTAAACAAAATTATTCTAGGGAAGTTGCTGAAAATAATGGAGGTGCTAGTTATTTTAATATTTTAACTAAAATATC